TTGCAACAGAATAAAATCAATAACAAAAGAATTAGCCATGTAACAGAATGACTTGGTCAGGGAAATGGCCCTCACTGATGTTACGGGCATTTCCTGAGTCCTTGTGATGTGCTGGGTACAGTCCTGGAAAGTAAGAGGGTAATACCCACAGAAACCGCGGCCTAGGACCCACCTTCCATGGGGGAAGAGCCATGGGGGAAAAGGCAGCGATGCCTTCATGATCCTGTGGCTGATAAAAAAAAAAAAAAAAAAAAAGTGGAAATGCCTGCAGGTGCACATTCACTCTGTAAGACGGGGCCATGGGTAAACATTCCAAGAACACCTTAAAAGGGTGAGGAGAGCATTTCAGGGGGCCTTACTCTCATTATAGAAGCAGCAGGTTCTAATTGACAGGCAGATGAATCACTCTCTAACTGACTGTGGGGTGGGAGGCCATAGCTGAAGAGGGGAAGGGGGGCAGAGGTGGAATCCACCCTGTCCCCAGTTAATGATGGATTCCGGGATGGAACCCTCAAGGTGTTAAATCCTTCAGCAGCAATTATTGCTCACTCTGCAAGCCTCCACTGAGCGCTTATTGATGAGCAGTCTTTCCCAATCAGAGAAGTCTCCCAGGCTTCCTTACCACACTAGACACCATTAGAAGTGAGGGCTGCTGGGTCTTCTGCGTCTGCATCTGCCGAGGCCAGCTCTCAAGCCAGAGCCAGGTGTGTTCTCTAGCTTGACCCCTTCGGTGAGTCATTTCCACCCGGTGCCTCTTTTTCTCTGTGCTCACTCGGGGAAAGAGCTTACCTGAAGCCGGTAGACCTGTGCCAAGGGTGTGCAGTGTGCTGGCCATGTTCTTGAGCCAGCAGGACAGGTGCAGCTAGCCATGAGCTAGCTGTTCTGTCCCACCCAAGATGGGGCAGGGCAGAGTCACTGTTGGAACAGTGCTGCTCATTATGCCCAAGGCAAGGAAAGAAAATGAAGAGAGGCCCTTAGTAAAAGCCATTTGTTCCTCTCAGCGTGACACTCTTTCACCGTCGGTGGTGCCTTTCAAACAACTGTAATAATTTACCTTTGGACAAATGAACCAAAACCCCAGGCTACCTGAGATGTGGTTACGATTTGGTGGCTCTAAATATTTATATCATGTCAAAATGAAGCAAGATATTGAAAAAATAAAAAGATTCAAGATGGCTGTGAAAAACAGCCATCCTTTCTGGACACCCTCATCAAGAGAAATAATCTCATTAGACCACTCCCCTCCCCCTGGGAAGAAGCCGGCAGCAGCCTGTAGCCAGCGGTTCTTTGCACACAGTAGGGGGTGATTCTGCTGCCTGAAGGAAGCTTGGAGAGCCCAGCTGGGCGACTTCTGGGCTGTGAGGCTGCATCCTCACAGGTAGCCCAGAATACGTTGGTTGGTCTTGAGCCACTTCCCTGCCTTGCAGAGCACACTGGGCCTTCTCATGCCCAGAGGCAGGGCCCCTGGCTCCCAGCTGAGCCCTCTTCAGCATCCACCAGGCCCCACTGCAGTCAGCCTGCTTGGAGCTGAGATCCATGAATGAAAGGCTCTTCCTGTTCACTTAGGGTGTGCCATCCAAGAAGCCCACCGAGCTCTTTTTTTCTTTTTTTTTTTTTTTTCTGTAATGTGGCATGTGACTTACTTAAACGTACACCCAAGGCCAGATGACCAAGCTCCAGGCAGAAAAACCACCTTAGCTTTCGGCCCTCTCAGCAGCTGGGCAGTTGTATCCCAGCTCTGTCTCAGCAGCTGTGGATTAGGCCACACCATCCCAACCCCCTCTTCTTCCCCACTGCTCCTTCCTTGCTGGTTCCTGGAAAGGCTGACACAGAAGCAAGGAAATTAAAAAAAAAAAAAAAAAACCTGTGTACTGAATAAGAGGGACAGCCATTCTAGTCCTTGCTCCTTTATGTTGCCTTGACCTGAGTCCTGGCAGTAGCTGCAGCAAGCAGCAGTCTTGTGACTGTGAGGGAAAAGCCAAGAGAACTAACTGCAGGTTCTTCCTGAGCCCTTGATCCAGCACTGTCACTCAGCTGCATGCTTCTTCTAGGCTTTCTGTCCTGAGAGAAACAGACAGCCCTCCATTTGTTTCGGCCACCAAGCTTAGCCGTCTGAGACTTGGAGTCAGAAAGGCCTCTAGCTCAGTGGGAGACAGTCAGTAAGGAGGGACGAAAGTCCTGGGTCCTGGATACGGAAAGCTGTGCTGGGGGCTGTTCTGATTGGGGGAAACTGAAATAGCTCTAACCTGGAAACTTTAAAGGAAGGTGTCATAAAGAGCTGGCAAAGAACCAGTGACATGAAGTCCAATGTTGCTAAGATTAAAAAAGCAGCAAGTAAGCCATGTTTGGGCACAAGCCAGGGAATGTGGACAGCAGGGCCCAGGTTACACGTAGGCCTGAGGTGCCACTGACTAAGAACCCTCTGTGCTCCCCCTGAACTACAGTAAGTGTGGCTAAGGCCATCAAGGCGTAGGGAGGGAGTGCCTGCCTCCCCTGGCCAGGCCACTGAGTCAGTTATTATTGCTATGAACAGATTACACCTAAGATGTAGCAGTTTCAAAGGACCTGCAATGAAATTATTAATTCATTTATTAGCACAGCTTATGGTCTCTCACAGTGTCCATGAGTGAGGTGTCCAGATGTAGCTTGACCACATCTTTTACCCAGGGTATCTTAGGGTCACTATTGCTGTGATGAAACACTATGATCAAGGCAACTTGTACAGGAGAGGGATTATTTGGCTTACACATCCATATAGTTGTTCATGAGCAAAGGAAGTCGGGACGGAACTCAAACAGGGCAGGAACTTGGAGGCAGGAGCTGATGCAGAGACCATGGAGGAGTGCTGCTTTCTGGCTTACTCCTCCTGGCTTGCTCAGCCTGTTTTCTTATAGACCTCAGGGGCCCCCTGCCCAGGAGTGGCTGTGAAGGATTGTTCCTATTTACTATTGATTCATATGATTAGTAAAGCAGCCTTGACTATTAAACCCACTATTATAGAAAAGGCGCAGGCACCTGTTAGGCACTGGGACTGGCCAGATCTTAACCCTCTACGTTACCTTGTTACCCCCAGCCAAAATTCCCATAAATACTTGTACATGCTCCATTTGGGCTGCTTCTCTCCATCATGCCAATCCCAAGAGCAAGCTCCTCCCAGCCATGTGTTTCTTGTTCAGGATAACCCATGGTGATCTCCTTTCTCCTTCCTCCTTGCACCTCTCCCTCCCCTGATCTTTCCTTCTGCCATCCTCAAAGCCTAAGCACCAGAACTCTGCCTTCCTCTCTTCTGCCCAGCACGGGTATAGGCAACTTTTATTGGCCAATCAGGGATAATTTGGGAGGCAGGATTACACAGCATCACATGGTGTATGTGAGAATGTGCTCATAAAATAGTAAAGGTCTGGGGGAGGGGAGGACAAGCACTTGAGTACATAGTAGCTCCAGACCAAGTACGACAGGTGGCCCCACCTACAATAGCCTGAGCCCTGCCCCACCAATCACTAATTAAGAAAATGCCCCCACAAGCCTGCCTACAGCCTGCTCTTATGGAAGTATTTTCTCAGTTGACACTTCCTCCTCTCCAGTGACTCTAGCTTGTGTCAGGCTGACATAAAACTAGGCCGCACACAGTTTGTCTGTGAGGTGTTCACATGGCTGTAGTCTCACCTGAAACTTGACCATGGAAAGATTTGTGGCATACTCACGTACATAGTTGTGACTGATACTTTTTCTTATGGTTTTTGGTGACCGTAGTTCTCCCTCAGTCCCTGGCCCAGTCACCCTCTGTGGGCAGCTCACAGTGTGCAGCTGGGCTTCATTTGAAAGCAAGCAAGAAACCAAAAGAGATGAACAAGATGGAAGCTACAGTCCTTTTGCCACCTTATCCCAGAGTTGGCATCTCCACTCATTAGCTGTATTCTGTTGAAAGCAAGTTACAGGCTCCAGCCCACACTCAAGGCAGAAGCAGTACAAATAACTCCCAGGAACAAAGATCTCTGGGAACCCTCAAAAAGCTGGCCACTACAGGTGCCTGGCTGACTCTCTCTCTTTCCTGTGGTTGAGGAAGGGAGAAAACTGAGGCTCAGGAAGGAACTGTGGTTTGTCTTTGGTGTCATGGACACTAAGAGGCACAACCAGGAGTCAAAGCCAGGCCTGCCTGGAATGATGCTCCACCCTCACACCACCCCATCCCAGGACAGCATAGCCAAGGTCAGGAGAGGCAGCAACAGCTAGCCCACAGCCAGGATGATTCTTCCCTCCTTGTCCTGCAAGACGCAGAGCAAGAAAGCTAGAGACTGGCTGGGCTGGGCCTTTCAGAGTCCTGAAGTCCCAGGAAGGTGCAATGGGTGGAATCATGCTGACATGTTTTCATGTCTACAGTGATATTCTGTCTACGGCCTCCTCACAAACATTTTAGGGGAAAATTTTCTTGTAGTGGCATGTGTGTTTACAGAGAAGGAGAATGAATGTTTGAATGTGTGGCACAAATGTTAGTATTGGGAATGCAGGTAAAGAATATATCACAATTACACAAAAGTGTTTTGCAACTGTTTTATAAGTCTGAAATTATTTCAAAATACAAAGGTGTCCAAAAGTGCCACCCTGGAATCTATCACAGATGATATTGTGGAAGTCATGCAGACCTACTTTAGACCCCAAGGTGATGAAAGAGAGCCCAGGGAGGAAGTCAGGAAGAGCAAATATAGAATCTGAGTTTGGGCTGCCTGGATTGCAGATCTGCCTAAGCAGCTCCTAAGGTCCATGAGCCACACAGTATCCATTCGAGACTGACAGAAAGGTTTGGAGAAAAGCTCCATGTCGAGATAGGATTTGTAGCACAGACACAGTCCCTGGGCTATGGTGAACTCTCCATAAATGTTACTGTTATTGTCTTCTTGTGCATCTTGCAGTGATGGGTCATGGCTGTGTGTGGTTTAGACTCTGCTCTAGAGAGTTGTCTCCATGCTTAGTTCCTGACGTGAGTTTTTGTCCCTATAAAGGCAACGTGGCCACTGCAGTGGGTGCGGATGTGTGTGGCAGCATGAAGAACAGAATCCCTGTGGTGCTTCTGGCCTGTGGTTCCTTCAACCCCATCACGAATATGCACCTGCGCTTGTTTGAGGTGGCCAGAGACCACCTACACCAAACAGGTTAGTCAGACCCACGTGCTGTAGACCTGGTGGGTTGGAGGCTTTTGTTTGACACTGTCATTGTCACCGTGAGTAAGACTGCTTGGTTGATTCATTCTCCACTTACGTTGTAGGCTACATCTCCTCCTCCTGGAACAGAGGGCTCATGCCCCTTAGCCATGTGGCATGTATTCATCCCTGGCCATAGAGTTTATAAGTCTCAGAGTCCCCCCTCCTTGCCCACCAAATAGTGTCCATGAATACTACGGAGACACTGGGAAGGGGCAGTTTAGGCCCCACCCAGGGCCTCCTGGATGTTCCCCACACTCACCCAACAACAGGGAATAGGTAACACATTCCTTTGGAAGGTCCCACTACATGCAGCAGGTAAACAAATGTTCAGTAATGGGAATTGACATTTCTCCTTCTGAAGAATAGGTCTTTCCCTGTAACAAACTGTTTTATGTATTCATAAATATATTTTATGTCTGCCTTATGTTTTCATAAATGTGTTTTGTATTACTGTGTTGGCCAAAATTTTTGCCTTTAGAGGCATTTTTACACCAAAATCAATTCCTATTTATTTTTAATATAGAAAAAAGTATTTGAGTAACATGTCAGTCATTCACAGATATAATACACAAATGTTGGCTTATTTTTATAGAAAATGACTTTGTTTACAAAACATACTTTTATTACTGAACAAATGATCATGTATGTCTATTCATAATAAATAAATGGCTTTTACAAAGGAATTTTTGAAATACAAACAACACAGTTAAAATTGTTCATTGGACATTAGTAGGCAATATACCAAAAAACTATAAATGTCCAATAAACTTGAGGATAGGTACCCCAGATCACTAGGACACAATGAAAATGCAAATAAAAAGCATGAGAAACATGGCCAGGTTATATGTATCATGAGGGCAGCAACTGTGGCTGCAGCAAAGCCACAAAATTGCCACCACCTGTCACTGGGCTGTGAGTTGTTTCCCAGTCAACATCGTTGCAGGAGTCGGTAGTCTCCGCCTATGAGATTGGCAAAGATGAAAGGTTAAAGACTGGCAGAGCCCAGTGCCAGCAGGGTAGGGAAGAAACAGACCCTCATGTTCTGGTAGTGATCCATTAGCCATGAACCAGCTTTGAAAAGCAGTTTTTTATTCTGTCACAGAAAAGTGTGGAACCAACATCCATCATCATAAAAGCAGATAAATCAGTCATTGAAACCAAACCAGAGCCATCAAAAGCTGAAGCAGATGTTAGAATTAACAGAGATATGATGATGATAATCGGTGGCTGTGTGCCATGTGTTCAGTGTTTAAATCAAAGGAGAGAAAGCATGAAAAGGGCCCAAATCAAACTTCCAGAGACAGAGGGGAATGTGTGTGGTGAAAACACACCTGTTAGTATTAGTAACATCAAACATTACAGAAAAGACAAGGGAGTGGGCAGATACAGCAGGGGGACCAGCCAAAAGAAAACACAGAGAGGAAGAAAAAATTTTAAACAGTAATAACCATGATCTGTGGATAACTTCAAGCAGCGTTATACACCTGTCACTGGAATCTCAAAAGAAAAAAAAATCAAAAAGAGAGTAGGAAAAATGTTTGCAGAAGTCAATGCTGAAATGTGTCCAGATTTGATGGAAACAGCCCACAGGCCCAAGGAGCCCAGAAAAGCCAATCTTAACAGGCAGGAGGGAAACAGCCCAAGGGATGTGATCATCAGATTTCTCAGAACCAGAAGGAAGACAAAAATCTTAAAAGAAGCCACAAAAGAACAAAAATAAGGGTGAGGGCATGTGCCCTGTCACCAAGTTCACCAGGAGAATTCAGTAAAATGATTTCCTTCAAGAACAGAAAGAAAGGCCCTTCAGCACAGAGTTCTGCAGCCAGCTCTATGCTCAGCAGAAATACCTTTCAAAAGTAAAACCAAAGTAAGGATATTTGCACAGACACAGAAGCTGGGAGACTCACCACCAGCAAACCTGCACTTCAAAAGCCATGTTCTAAAATCCCCTGTGCTGGAGAGTGACAGCTAGGAATGGGGGCTTCCCTGAGGGACCACAGAGAGTTAGAAACAGTGACCACATGGGGCATCAGGCCACAGGATGGGTAAGATAGAAGTTTTTAACATTTAAATGTCTTTAAAGGGAGCTTAGCAGTTTAAGCGAAAATTCAACATTGTTGGATTCTAGCCGGCAGACGTAAACTCAGGGACAGCATTATTACCCTCGTGGGAAAGGACAAAAGGCAAGTATTCTACCTGTGAAGTGCTTAAGCATTACTCAAGATAGACTATGGTATATAAAGATAAGCATTTAAACCCCAAAATATTTGAGAATATGTGTGTGTGTGTGTGTGTGTGTGTGTGTGTGTGTGTGTGCGCGCGCACGCGCGCTTATGTACAAAGAACATATGTGCCTCTGAGGAGATAAGAGGACAGCCTCAGGTAGTGTTCCTTTGGTGCTGTGCCCACCTTCTGAGTCAGGCTCAGTCACTGTGTTGGAGCTTGGCAAGAAACCTGGCTACACTGACTGGCTAATGAACCTCAGGGTTTTACCTGTCTTTGCCACCTCAGTACACAAGTCCATATAAAACTATGCTGTGGTGGTTTGAATAGAAATGGCCCCGGTAGCCTCATGTGTTTTGATGCTTGGCCCATAGGGAGTGGCACTGTTAGAAGATGCGGCCTTGTTGTAGGAAGGAAGTGCGTCACTGTGGAGGCAGGTTTTAGGGTCTCATATGCTCAAGCTACTCCTAGTATGATACACAGTCCCCTGCTGCCTATGGATCAAGATGTAGAACTCTCAGCTCCTTCTGTAGTACCATGTCTGCCTGTGTGTTGCTATGCTTCTCACCATGACAGTAACGTAATGAACCTCAAACTGTAAGCCAGCCCCAATTAAATGTTTTTATTTATAAAAGTAGCCATGGTCATGGTATCCTTCACAGCCAATAAACCCTTAACTAAGACACATGCCCAGTTGTTTTACATGGGGTCTGAGGACTAAACTCAGGTTCTCATGTTTGAAACAAGCATTTTGTAGATTGAGCTGTTATCCCTACCCTAAGCCCCAAAATATCAGAGCAGGTACCTATGGTTAATAGGTATAACAAAGGAAATAATATCGCACTAGAAAACTCAGTTAATTCAAAAGGAGAAAGAGGGGAGAGAAACAAGTGGGACACACAGAAAACAAGTAAGATGAGACACCAAACCCTAACACTTATCAATGATCACCTTAAATAGAGACGAGTGGTGTCTGATAAACTTTGTATTATCACATTCAGTAAAATAAGCAAGACTCAGCTCTCTGCAGTTGAGCTGCCCCCTCATCTGTGGGGAGTTGTGTTCCAAGACCCCCAGTGGATGCCTAAAGCTGAAATCACATCAAACTTGATGTATTGTGTTTCTTCCTACATAGTTACCAAAAGTTGAATTTCTCCATTAGGCAAAGGAAGATATTAACAGCGGTAGCCAATAAAATGAAATGACTGTATAACAGTACATTGTAATGAAAGTTATTAAGACATGTGAGCTATTTCTGGAGGTTTCCATAGAATAGTTGACCATGGGTAACTGGACTAGTGGAAAGCAAAATTGCAAATAAGAAAGGATTATGTATAAAACCCACACTTTACATGTAGAAATATAGCTATGTTAAGGGGAAAGGAATTTATCTCACACAAACACTAATTAAAGAAAAGCTAGAGTTGCTATCATATCAGAAAACAGAAATTTTAAAGGAAAGAATATTACCAGGGATAAGAAAGTCTTCCCATAATTACAAACTTAACCCCAGTTCCAAAATGTTGAGACCCATAGCCACACAATATGCAAAGTGAGAGACCTTGTTACACTCAGCTCTAATGGGTGTCTCCATCAAATCCTGCCCCAGGACTTAGGGCACCCGGCAGAGGAGGAAGTGGAAAGAGTATAAGAACCAAAGGGGGAAACAAGGCCCTCTAAATTTATAGGGTCAGTGTGAACACATATGAACTCACAGACTGAGGCAGCGTGCACAGGACCTCCACAAATCTGCACAAGGTGGAGTCCTAGAGCTGAACAAAGTGGACACATGCTCCATCTCTAACCCAGAGCCATCTCCAGTTGATAACCATTTGCAAATGAAAATTTAGTTTTCTCCAAGGAAGTCTCATTGGGAAACAAACTACTCTTAAGAGTAGGCTGCATGCCCAGCAGTAGATGGCCAATAGAAAACAAACTCAACAGCAGCTTTGGTGGTTCTTTCTTTCATAATGTCATGTCAGAGCTTTTTTATTTTCATTTTTATTATTATATATATATATATATGTACATATACTTTTGGTAGTATGAATGGAAGTGGCCCCATAGGTTCATAGAGACTGGCTTATTTGTGAGCTTCGGCTTTGCTGGAGTAGGTGTGGTGTTATTGGAGGAAGTGTGTCACTGGTGGCAGGCTTTGAGATCTCAGAAGCTCAAGCCAGGCTTAGTGGGTCACATTCTCTTCCTGCTGCCTGCTGATCCAAATCTCAGCTCCTTTTCCATCACTTTGTCTGCCTGTGTGCCACCATGCTTCCCTCCATGACAATAATGAACTAAACCTCTGAAACTGTAAGGTAGTCCCAATTAAGTGTTTTCCTTTGTCAGAGTTGCCTTGGTCATGGTGTCTCTTCATAGCAATAAAAACCCTAACTAATGTATGTGTATATGTGTGTGTATTTGAATATTTTCATTGTTTACCCTACAGTTCCTACATTATTGTACCTTACATTATTGTATTTTTATGGTTATTTGCATATATATTATTTTACTTTTCTGGTCCTTTGCATATATATTATTGTATTTTTATATAGTAGTAACAATAAATTCTAAATAGAAATTTAAAGTTATATCATTTGCAAATGTATAAAAAACATTTGATTTGAGACTTCCAAAGTCTATAAAACTATATAATAAAGAAAACATTGATGAAGGAAATTAAAGGCCTCCTTATTAAAATGAAAATGTTGTCCATGTTTTGGAAGACTAAA